GTGACTAGGTTACCTTTAAAGAGCTTGCCTAGCGCTGTGACTAGGTTAACTTCAAAGAACTTGCCTAGCGCTGTGACTAGGTTACCTTTAAAGAGCTTGCCTAGCGCTGTGACTAGGTTAACTTCAAAGAACTTGCCTAGCGCTGTGACTAGGTTACCTTTATAGAACTGGCCTAACGCTGCGACAAGGTTATCCTCAAGCCTTTATTAACAGATATGCTAATGGTCCCCAATTGAAAGATCTAGTTACCTTAAAGCACAATAATTTCTCCAGTCGTTGGTAATCCTTCAGTGCATTTCCGGGTCTTAGCTCTGATATCTCCAGCTGAAGATGTTTACACAGAACCTCAATCTCAAACTTCAAGTTGAGCTTGAGGTCGGGTTCGGCGTGGAGCTCAGCCAGGAGGTTCATCAGGCCCATAGTCCAGGGACACGGAGGTTTAAACACCTAGACAGATATAGTTAGTAAAAAATAAAATATAATTGTTTACAGTGAGATTTTTAAATCTGTGCAATAGGAAGACGACGAACTTAAATTAGTGCATTAACATAAACACTGTGCAGTGTATACAGACCCATTTTAGTTCATAAATTTATTCTTAAGCTGCTTGTAAAATAAAACTAATTACATAATAATAACATCAAATACACGGATGATTGCATAAATTCCTTTTCCGCTAGAATTTTCTCTACATACCCTACATTTAAGAAGATGATAGGTGACATTTTATGCCTATTATTATTACTATTATTATTATTATTATCATTTAAGGACAACCCGTCAGTCAATGTAATGTTATAATATAATTTATAGTTAAACCCTCTAAATTTTACATAAAAGATGTATTCCAATAAATCTATATAATAAAGCTCTTCGCTCACGCTTATATATATATGACAGCTATAGCTGACCAAACGGCTGGACCGAATAGCCTGAAATTTGTTGGCCTTGGAGTAACAGACTAAAAAAAGTTCGTCATTCTTTTTCAAAAATCCAATTTTTTCTTTAATAGTTAATTTTTTTCTTTCACAATTCAAAAAAATGTCACGGGCAAGGCCGGGCACTTCAGCAAGTTTTTTTTATAATATTCATCAATAAACAAAACCTCTGCTTTTTCATGGCAACTTATTTCTGGAGAAATAAGAGAGAATTCATGAATCCAAAATGTTTTTAAATTCTTTAAAGACTGATTCAATTTTTTTTTTTTTTAAAGAAATTCTATATGCTTGAATGAATTTTAATGCATATTTAACTTTTTAAGAATATTCGGTTTCATTCATTGGATATCCTTTTCACACATTATTTAACTTTCGGGAAAAAACTTCCTTCCGTAACTAACCATGTTTTTGCTTTATAATGAAAGAAGTATTCATTGCAGAGAAAACCGGAATTTGAAAAAATAAAAATTGCTTGCATAAACTTTTGAGTCGCATTACATTTTGGTAGCTATTTTAAACTTAGTTCAAATATGAATAATATTTAACCGTCTTTATAAGGCTTTAGAATCGCAAAGCTTTATATTTTTAAACCAACATTTTAGGAATTCTTTTAAATAATCTGATCTTTAAATGTTTTAAAGGTTTCATATCATCAAATTATATGCAAAATATGTTTAGATAATATTAGATATGAAGGCTGTTTTTTGACTGTACATTTTTATTGTAAATATAAGAACAAATTTGAGAACTATGTTCTGTAAAATCCAAGGTTGTATATAAGGCTAGATACTCTGGATGCGATCAAATATACTAGAATGTCGTCTTCATAGAAATGAACACTAAAAATCCTCTCATGACGTAACCGATTATTGACAGAAGATGAAGTGGCAACCATGCTGTTGTGTGGGGGAAATCTTAAACCCTGGTTCTTAAGGTGTAAGTTAGACCCGAAGGGACTATGGTCGTAGTTTGTCCCTGAACTATAATTTTGACAATTTTTACAAAATAAATTGTCAAAAATAGACTTTTATAACCTTACCTTTGACTTAGAAGCAGATTCTAAAACTTTAGCAACAAATGGAACAACATAGAGCAGCTCCTGCTGCTTCTCCTGCTGGGAGTTGTGGTAGGCCTAAATAGATTTTATCTCAGGACAAGGATTAATATCATTTTTTAAATTTCCAAAATCCTCGAAAAATGATTTTTCAAAAGTTAGCAATAACCTAGAAAAATGATTTGATCACAAGTTTCCAAAATCCTCGAAAAATGATTTGTCACAAGTTAGCAATATCCTAGAAAAATTATTTGTCGCAAGTTAACAATATCCTAAAAAATGACGTGTAGAAAAAACTATCAACATTCCAGAAAGTTTATTTGTTATTAGTTAGCAATATCAGAGAAAGCCGATATATATGAAATGTATTATATATATACTAAACTTCGTTTTAGGACAGTTGTACATTGTACTGTTTATTGTAATATCCACTTAGAATATTGTTTTCTTGAGATTTTTGATTTCAAGCATCAACATTTTAAAATAAATAAACATTGAGATTGTATGCAAACTGGTTTGAAGATTTACTTGAATAAGTTCCTGGAAAAAAACTTAAATGTTTAACTTTTAGTTTTAACTAAAACCTTGAAAAACAGGAATGATGAAATCCAATAAAATATAGACATATCAAAATCCGTGGATCCGCATATTTTTGAGGATCCGGATCCAGAAAGCCAAAATGTTGCGGATCCAACGGTTCCGGATCCTAAAGCACCATAATCAGAAAGACCCGGAATTGATTGATTTAAAATTCAGCAGACAAATTACATTTAAATTTTTTTAATGAAAACAAAATAGGCCTAGTCCTGCAAATTCAAAAATGTGGTCTGCCTTTATTGTGCATTTAAAATTTCCAGAGATTTAATAAAGTCGTCTGATTAACTGTCAACGAATTCCGGATCTTTCTGGTTATGACTGTATTATAATTAAAGCGTTTACCAAAACAATAACAGATAAAGACAAGAAAGGTCCGATTTTTTTTCACATTAACCTGATCCTGAGCAGTTCAAATACGTCACAGTAATTTTTTTCGAGGCGCTGGGGGAAAATTGAACATCAATAAGAAAGTGTTTATATCATTTTAGAAACTTTCAACCAAAAAATACCTTTATTTTCTTTTAACATCATTAATTTTTCCCAATTCATCGAATACATTTTTTTTTTGCACTCCGTGAAAACATACTAAACATCTGGGGAAAATGTTACTGGGAAACAATGTTTTAAGAAAACAAAAACCCATCCCTGTACCTGGATTGTATCCATCTATCTACCTGATATTCTTGTATGTCTCTGCAATAACATCTGAGTAGAGGGACTCTGAGTTGATGACCTCGATGAAGCTGCTGTACGTCTTGTGGAAGTTGGGCTCAATGCTCGCCCTTTTCATCACTAAGTACTAAATTAAAATTTCGTAAAGCTTGGAAGGTTGGGGAATAAGGGTTAGTTTTATAAGAATGGGGGGGGGGGGAACAAGATTTTTAGGATTTACTCCTTTTAATCCATATTATGTTTTCTTCAATTCAGCGATCATTAAATTATGACACAAGGCATATTTTTAAAAGTGGGGGGGGGGGATTCTGTTAAAAAATTAAAACCCCTGATGATGATCTAACCTGTGCTAACCACTTGCTGTGGTGCATATTCTCCTCTATCCTTAGGACCTCCTTCAGATCATCCATCTTCTGCTTCATGTTCATCATGCTCAGGTTGTTGAAGATGAACGCGATCTTATCCTGCTCCGCCTAAACATATAAAACGTAAATAACTTTTCAAAACTTTTATTACCTTCACTCAGCTGTCATAAAACTTTGTTTGATTATAACATGAACGGCCACCGGTTTTATTTTCTTGGCAAATTATTATTCCCTTCCCCCGCCCCCTCAAAAAATCATTTCCCCACCGCATAAGAAGTTAGGTATGAATTTTAGGGGGTTTGAAAACAAAAATTGGAAAAAAAAAAATGATTTTCAGGGAAATTAGTTAATTTTTGGGTAAGTATCAGAAAGAATGAAAACACTTTACGTCCAATATCTCATGTATACCCCCAGATCATCAAAAATTAATAGTCAAAACCTTCCAGCACTAAGACCCCTTCTAATAATTTGGCGCTCGTTTTTATTCCTAACCTAGAATGGAAAATAAAATATCATAAAATAACCTTCCTTGTATTCCCTTGTTCAAACTTACGCAACTTTGATTTAAAGTGAGATGGGTTGCAATTTTTCCTTAAAGTTTGCTTAAATGATGACTTTAATGAGAATCAAATTTGATCAGCAAAAATCGGAATTTGGACCAATAGCACTTCGTTCGAAACAGTTTAAATTGTGAATATACTTACTTTTATATTTTTATTTTAAAAAATAAAAATTTTGTTTCAAGTGATCAGTATGAAAATGTCAAATTAAAGAAAAGCAACAAAAAAAATTATAGACAAATAGCTAAATATTTGTGGGGAAAAGAAATAAATTCATTTGGTAAAAATATATTTAAGAAATGATAAAAACCCAGATTCACACAAATTTGCGGGACTACGGATCAGTATACAAAGATGGGAAATTTTAACGAAAATATACAACAACAAATTAATAATTCTTTATTGTCATAATATACAAATTATAAATGATGGATGATAAAATGCTGTTGGAATGCTAGATGTCTAAATGCTCCATAATTTTAGTGCAAAAAGTGCAAATAAAGAAACTAAATTATGAAAATCTTTTTATGAACTAAATACGCGTCTTAAGACTATATAACAACGACTGTTTATCGAATCAGGTACGCCCCCGCTAGACAGCCATGTACTCGTTCTGGCACAACATGCTATATTTGGTCAGAATGTTGAATGATGCCATCTGTAGCCTCTTGTTTCAACTATATCTCTTTCAGAAATAGAAATTTTACGATATTTTATGAAAATCTAAATTTCAACAAGGTTTACGCTTTCAATATTTGATTTTCTATTTTGGAATAAAAATATTTAGTTTATTTAATTTAGTTTATTTTGGAGGGTCAATTAATTTCGTTATTCCCATATAGATTTCTGCTTTTTAATTATGTACACTGGTTGTATACAAGGAACCCTGCTGAAAAATTATCCCATACTCCGGCCTTTAATAGACCTTTGAACTCCTTAAGCTCTAATCTGCATTATCATAAATGGTATTTGTTTAATTTTTTACCTCTTTAGGTGGTTGAATAGATTCGTCTCCACTCTGACGAGCTGCCAGCAGAGTATCAATATTCGTCGTGTTGGCGATCGAAATTCGTCCCTGTGTAACCGTCCCGATGGCCGATGTTGTTGGTCGAACAATCGTGCTTGTAGTTGCTGTAGTGGTTGTAACGGTAGTCTTACTTGTTGCAATTGAAGGTTGCGCTATAGGAACTGATGGCGGGGTCTATTCAGGTGGTACACTCATATAAATTAAAAAGACTTTTAGACTGCGGACTCATTTCTAATAGGACTTGCTGCAAGTTTACATAAAAAATATTCCTGACAAAAGTATAAAATATATGGTACTAGAAATTCAAGGCGCTTCGCGCCCTTCTTTCTAGCCTTAGAGGGCGCTTCGCGCCCATCTCCTAAATTAATTGTAAACATGTTCTCTTTGTGTACATCGTAAAACAAAACAAAAATAATTCGCGGATTTTCAAAATTTTCAAAAATTTAATGACGATCGAATTTTGATGGAGACAAATATTTGAAATTTTGATGATTCATAAACCTTCCCTGGGGTCCTTGGGCCCGATCGGTTCAGCCGTTTTGACGTTTATTGGATACAAACAGACAGACAGACAAACATACAAACAAACAAGCCAAATTTATATATAGATTAAAGAAGCGAATAAGATATTTGGACACAAATTTCGTACAAAGAAAAGCAGGAATAAGTTCATTAAATATTTCTTACTTAAAGATTCCGAGTTCTTCAGTGTTATCTAGATTTGAAAATTTGTCAGCTATACTATCTTGGAGAAAAAACAGAAATATTCACGACATTGTAGATCTTTTAAACATTTGGTTAAACAAACGTTGAAGCGTTTAATCATCTCAACAGGGTTATGACCAATTAAATATTAAAAACGTTTCCAAAAGGTTTTTTAGAAATTTAACAATGAAAACGGAAAAACTTCAGATATTTTTTATTTTTTTTGTGACTAATGAAATGCGGCATTGAACGTTTTATGTTTACAAGTTTAAAGGTTGAAAGCCCTCACAAAAAATGTATAAACAATTTTACCAATTACGTCTTGTAAAATGCACATGTATAGGGCAACAAAAAGTGTAGGTATTTTAGTGAGGTAAAATCAAATGCCATTGCGTTACGGCACTTTAAAGTGGACCCAGTCTAGAGAGAAAATACAATGTTAATAACAGCCTGGATCTACGTGTATTCTTATATGTATAAGTACACTCCTGTAGTAATGACGGTGGTATAACCGGTGATGATGGTTTATTCGGGGGTTCTACTCCCTGGGATCCATATTCAACCCATTGGATGAGATGCGGGGGGAAATCCTTAATAAAGAAACAACTATATATATATATAACTAGCTGGAGTACCAGGCGTTGTAAATGTAAATTTGGTAAATTGTAAATTGACGTACACCTTGTAATGTAAATTTGGTCCAACCTTCTATCATATAAATATCTCCATTCTCCATATTCAACTTGACATTTTTATTTATATATTTTATTTTATTTTTATTACATTTTATTTTATTTTTATTACATTTTATTTTATTTTTATTACATTTTTACATGTTTACTTTAAGAAGTAAACTGAACGATTATGTTTCATGCTCTATGCAGAGAAATGTTCGTTCAACTATATCTATAAACTAGCTTGGGAACCCAGCTCTGCTAAGGTAAATAAAAGATACTCCCGCCGTTTAGCCGCACTTGAACGATTTTACCGGGAAACAAAATGTTCGCTACTTAATTCGACCCACTCAACTAGGAATTTCAACCAAGCTAATGAAATTCCCGTGGGTCTCCTGGGTTCCCAAATAAAAATTTGAGGCAAATCGGTCCAGGGGTTCCTGAGTTATGATGACACAAACATACAGACAGACAGACAGTGATAACAGAGATAAATATATAAATATAAAGTTGTGATCTCTGTTTGTCTGTTTGTTTATCCGATCATTCATAACTCGGGAATCCCTCCACTGATCTGCCTCAAATTTTGTTTGTGGAACTCGGGGAACACACAGGAATATTCTTAGCTCTTAGTTTTGAGGTGCTAAATTGAGTGGGTCGAAAATTTCGTTTCCCGGTTAAATCGTTCAAGTGCGGGTAAACGGCGGGAGTAACTAAACTTTTTGTAACTTGTACAGCGCTGGGTTCCCAAGCTAGTATAATATATATTTGATGCATAAGTTTATCAGCTTTTGATAAAAGAAAAGATTAATAAAAAATCTGCAGCGTTTTTCACTTGAAAGCTTAGTATTATCTTTCTTTTTGCGAAGTTCCACAAATAAAACATTAATATAAATCTTTTTATAAAAATAAATGCCTTAGGAAAATATAAGATTTACAGTTCTTGCTTTTAGTTTTTGAGATTTACTTTCAAAGGAAATAACATTATTAGATAATAAAAAGCTGGGTTTTCTGCTGCCCGCCCCCCGCCCATCACCTTCCCCTTCCCCTCCATAGAAATAATGAATCTACCTTGAAGTGTTGAATACTCGCTACATGTTGACAATACTGAGAATAGTCCTTGAGCCTTGCCTTGAATCTATCCAAGGCAACCAAACCAAACCAACTCATGTTCGAGTTAATAGGCTTACGCAATGCGTCCAGCACAAATCTAAATATATGAGTTCATCAAAATAATAGGGGTATACATTCCCCATCCTCTCTGAAGCTCAGTGAAAAACAAATTAAACAAAGGCTTCACTTTTTACCCAAAATGTTATCCTGAGCTGAAAACTAAGATTGTGATATCCTTAATCCCGATTGGTTAATTAATCTTGAGATTAATAATAAAAGGAGAACAAGCATTATTTAATCTTGAGATTAAGAAAAAGAGTGGATAAAACATTAATCCCGATATCCACAATTCAAAAGTTCCCAGCTCTGAGTAATCTTTCATTTTTCCAACATGGCAAATAGAATAAATTTTAAAGGTTGTCCACTGGGTCTCCATACCTGAGTGCAACCCCTAGATGAATCATGGTGACGAGTGAATGCTCCACTATCCCACCAAACAACTGAGCTGTTATATGGAGCTCCTTGTCCGGGTACTGGGGGAAGAACTTGTACTCCTCGAACAGGTTCTTGATCATGCAGAAGAATACGTCCGTCTCTCTCTGTACCCCGCTGGTCTGGAACTTACGAAGGAGTTCGAGCACTTCGTCGATAGTCAGAGTCGGGTGTGCTGGGTCCTGAAACACACAACATAACAAAACAGAATCTTAATCGGGGGAGGGAGGGATGTAAGAGGAAGAATTGGATCAAAAAATGAAAAATTAAATATATATCAGGCTAGTGCTCGGAGAAATTCCATTGACAAAACAAACAAACAAACAAACAATCAACCATCAGGATGGGGAGGGGGCTTTGTTAAAAGTCAAGACTTGTATGAAATTTATTGCTTATTTGGCAAAACAAAATTGAACATGAAATTTGCAAAAATCCTTATGGGATAAGAAATGCATCTATTAAGGTGCGATAACTCAGGATTTTTTTTTTTTTTTTGTGGGGGGGGGGGGGGAGGGTCAACAGGGCAGACGAGTGGTGTAATAATTAAAAATACTGACCTCTACCTTGTAAATCCTCTGGAAATACGAATTAGCTTCATCTTCTACTTCTTTGGAGATACTACGGTCTCCCTCGGGGAACAAGGAAGCAATATTCCCGGATCGGACCTAGAATAATAATCAATAAACACTGTAGTTTTAAGAAACCCTTGATTAGAAGGAAACTGTGGAGTACAAATTATGAAAATGTCCTAAATTCTATCTAAATATTTGTGTTTCGAGGTAGAAGACACTTGCAGATTTATGCAGCTATTTCTGACGAATGATTTTTTATACATTTCAAGGGTTGACAGACATTAAACAATATTATATTTACGAGTCAAATAATATTCGATTTTTCATTTTAGTCCGCCATTTGTATCAGAAAGAGTTGTCATTGGCCATTTGGCGTCTGGAATTATGCAATTACGCATTTTTTATTGATTAAAATTCAAAAAGCATGACGTAGTGAAATTATTTTAACGATTTCATCGTTGATTTAAATTAGTTAAGTAAAGCCCTTATTAGTATCATATATTCTAAATAAAGAAAATGATTTTTATAAGATATCTAGGGGGGCACTCTGATTTTTTTTATATTTGTCTAGTTGTATCCCCATCTTCCGGCCCCCAAAAGTTAAGAAAAGCCCCCAAAAATGTAATATAGGGGGGGGGGGGTGATATTAAAGGGGGTAATCATTTTATAAGAAAATAAATGCCTCGGTAAAACTTTGTATCCTACCTGTTCTATCTGACTGTTAGAAGATGGTTGGTTAGGTCTAGGAGGTGGAGGAGGTATTGCAGGGATAGAGTGCCCTAGTCCAGTAAACGGAGACTGGGAACCTCCTATACCTGCCGCAGAGGAGGTCGTAGACACACCAAACATCCTACATTATCATCCTGTCATTATCCTTATCATCCTTATCATCCTTATCATCCTTATCATCCTTATCATCCTTCTCATCCTTCTCATCCTTCTCATCCTTCTCATCCTTCTCATCCTTATCATCCTTATCATCCTTCTCATCCTTATCATCCTTATCATCCTTATCATCCTTATCATCCTTATCATCCTTATCATCCTTATCATCCTAATCATCCTTATCATCCTTATCATCCTTATCATCCTTCACATCCTTTATATCCTTCTCATCATCCTTATCACCCTTATCATCCTTATCATCCTTATCATCCTTATCATCCTTATCATCCTTCATCATCCTTATCATCCTTATCATCCTTATCATCCTTCACATCCTTTATATCCTTCTCATCATCCTTATCACCCTTATCATCCTTATCATCCTTATCATCCTTATCATCCTTATCATCCTTCTCATCATTATAATCATTATCATCATTATCATCACTATCATCATTATCATCATTCTCATCCTTATCATCCTTATCATCCTTCTCATCCTTCTCATCCTTATCATCCTTCACATCCTTATCATCCTTATCATCCTTATCATCCTTATCATCCTTATCATCCTTATCATCCTTTATCATCCTTATCATCCTTCACATCCTTCACTTCCTTCACTTCCTTCACTTCCTTCACTTCCTTCTCATCCTTCTCATCATTATCATCCTTATCATCCTTATCATCCTTATCATCCTTATCATCATTATCATCTTTCTCATCCTTCTCATCCTTCTCATCATTATAATCACTATCATCATTATCATCATTATCATCATTATCATCATTATCATCATTATCATCATTATCATCATTATCATCATTATCATCATTATCATCATTATCATCATCATCATTATCATCATTATCATCATTATCATCACTATCATCATTTTCACTTTTATAATTTTCATCATTATAATCATTATCAATATTATGATTTATAAACATGATACCTATTAGGAGATCCTGGACCGGATACAAGTGGACCAAGAACTCCTGGAAGTGAGAATGCTGAGCTTGAAACTGGAGGTCCTCCACCCAGCTGGAGAGAACCAGGTCCAGGTCCTAAACCAGACATGTAATTAAAGGGACTGTAGCCATTATTTCAAGTGACCCTCCATTTGTAGAGTTGCATGTCAGATATCCACAACGAAAACTTACATATTGAAGTTTAAGGTTACCGTTGTAAATCCTCTTCATTTCAACTATGGAGGCTCGCTTTATATTCATTAAGAAAAACATTTATTTTGTTTTATTTATATGTTAACGAATTCTAGAATATAACTTGGCGTTAGATTAGCACGCCTTAAAAAAGCTTTCGTTCAATCAATCAATCAACCAATCAATCAGAGTTTTAATATCCTCGACTATTTTCCGAAAAAATAAGTCCTATACGATCAAAACTGACTGAAAGAAAGGGGGGGGGGTTTATTCCTATGATATGAATAAGTGCAATGTCAGTTGAATTACCTCCGATAGGTCCTCCTCCTGATAGTTGAAGTCCTGCATTAAATTCACGGGATAAACCAGACATATCTGCGCCTACAATTCAAATTATAATTTAACAAAATCTGGACAGCACTATTCATCTCTCAATCAATAAGAATTTTTCCAATTACGCCTTTTTAACTTAAGCTAGAAACAAACACTTCACACTAGCAGTTAAAAATTGTAATTGTCATTGATACAAAAAATAATACGAGTGTTGGTGAGGTAAAACCCAAAGCAAAAGTCAACAATGTAAACTATATCTGGATATAAATATTTGTTCATCATATAAAACTTAAAGTGAATTTATCAAAATATAATTTGATATGTTAAACAGAAAGTATTAAACTTTACCGACTGGGAAAAGGCCGGTTGGGGGCGGTCCCATATTGGCGGCGGAGAGTGGTCCCACCGCCGAGTTGAAATTCGGCGGGAGATTGCCAATCATCCGGGCGGAGGGAGGAACACCGCGTGCAATGAGAGCAGCGCTGGCCTGCAGCATATCTCTGATACTCTCGTAAACATCCTGGCTCATGGGTATCTGTTTTCCAGCGTCCTAGATAGAGAGATTGATAGATATAGTTTGATAAATGGATAAATAGATAGATATTTAGCAAAGATAATATATATATATATATAGATACGCTGGCAGGTAGAAACCTCCTTCCTAAATTGCTTGTACCTATTTTTGTACCTCTGAGATAAAGTGCAAGTTGTAGTAATACTACGTATATGATATAGTTACATTTCATCTATCTATATATAAATTTAGCTTATCTGTCTGTTTGTTTGTTTGTATCCAATAAACGTCAAAACGGCTGAACCGATCGGGCCCACATTATTTGTAGGACATCACGTGACCACAGGGAAGGTTTACGAATGATAATTTTTTTTTAAAAATGTGCAAGATCGTTAAGTCATAGTACATCTTGTGTAATGAAGTATTCTCTTTAGAAGGCTAAAAAAATTTCTCTCCTTGTATTAACAGTGAATTTAGACAAATCCTTAGTCTTTGTCGTTGTCAGGTGTTACTTTTTAAACGTAGTTTCATTTTAATTTTGTATTTTCCAGGGGGGGGGGGGGCTATGCCTCGCCTGGAACTCCCAGGGGGACAAGAGGACTACTGCCCCCCCCTAAGTACACCACTGTGCCTGGCCTGAGGATGGGAAATGCAAGCAGATGTAATATTAAAAGAGCCTACCCCTTGGGTGCCCCCCCTCAGCCTCTCAGGGGAGGGCACCCGTAGAGGGGGGCGGGGCCCCCCTCGTACGCCACTGGTAACGGGGGTGATGAGCCAGTTGTGAGCCGAATCTAGGACTTTGTCCTAGATTCGATGTACTTTTTAGTCATAATTTTTATTTAAATTGCGTTAATTTACGTATGCCATTCAGCACAACATGCACATTTAAACTTTGTATAGTCAAATTCCTACCTCAGTTTTATTTGCATGGATTAATTTGTTTCTTTAAGTACAATATGCAGTATACATTGTTGATACATGGTGACATGGCTCAAATTTGGTCGTGTGTCCGACGTTAGGATTTAAACTATGTCAGGCTGAAAAGCCTTCACCTATAGGGGATTGTGATGGCATACCCCTTGTAGGTCAAGGAGCTGTTGGACGCATCCCTAGCTGTATGATATGATACTATAGTGCGCATTTAGTGTTATCACGCATAAACAAAGTGACAAATTAGCAACAATCCAGAGGATAAAATACCATGCGTGCGACAGAGATGGTGCTGATTGCACTTTTTCTCAAGACCTCAAAATTTCTACCTGTCAGCGTATCTATGTATATATTATCTTTGATATTTAGATAGATGGATATAAAAATTGATAGCTCGATGAATTTATAGAAAGGAAAGATAGATGGATAGATAGACATATGGATAAATAGAAGGACAGAGGATAGATAGATATATACTATATAGATAGATTGATCGATAGAAAAATAAATGAATAAAAAGATGAATGGATAGATAAATAGCTATATATAAATAAGAAAATAACGACTAATTGAGAGTTAGATACATAGTAGATATGGAGCAATAAAGATAGATATAAATAGGTAAATTAATTTGATTATTAATATATATATATAATATAGATTGTTAACTAAGTCCGTAATATGAAAGGTTGATGAGACTGGAACCTGCAAGAGTGTCCTAACAAATATAGAGAGTTATAAAAAGATGAAGATAGATTGAACACATGAAAAATCTCACAAAAAATGTATAAAAATGTTCACTTCATTAACAAGGGATGAAATAATGTCTTAAAGGAAATTTTATACTTTTAACATCATTTATTAAAGATAAGACTAACTTAAACCCTGCAACAAGAAGTATGAATAAACATAATTAGTGTATTTTGAAATTATTGAAATTTTAAATATCTCGTAATGACGTCGTGAGCTTTATATTACTTACTTTTTATTCTATATTCACACGATTCATTCATTCATTAGATGGTGTTTACAGAAAATATTGTATATACACAAACGTCAAACAAGTATTAGAAGATATAAATAATAAAAAAAATTTAGAGCTCTATCCGGGTTCAAATTTTGACCGAATGGATCCAGATCAGAATGAAAAGAATCCGTAAAAAGTCTGCACGGTTTTGACCAATGAGATAAAAAAATCTCACCAGACTCCCATTAAATCAGTATTAAGAAAACCATATTTCGAAACTTTACAAGAATATTTTATGAGCTTTATCCAAAATCATTTCCGGATGCAAACTCATTACCAGATCCTGAACCAAATTTGTTACCCAATCCGGATCTAAATTTTCTCAGGATCCGACAAATTTGATAACGGATTCCCGGAAATGAATTCTATATGAATGAAAAGTTACCTCTATCGAGGCGAGAATGGTAATCAGACAATCAACCGGTAAACTCTGTTTAGGAATATTTTCCTCCTGAAAACAAATTTACTTCAAGGGACTGTGTAAGCGTAATTTCAAATGCCCCTTCATGCGAAGATGACAATGTCCTATTTACAACAGTTGAGTACGCTTGTCTGATTAAGTAAAAATTAGATATTCGCGTTTTTCTTTTATTTTAACCATTTGTTTTCATTTGCAATGGTGACTTGCAAATTTCCGGCTTTTAAGAAAACTGGAGGAATTATCAGAATTCAACACTTAACGAGCCAAGAAAACGTGGGTATCTTCCACATTTTTGATCTATCGAAGGTTTCTCGGGTACCGTTGTAAATCGGACATTGCAGGAATGGTCGCAAATCACGCTTATGCCAAATGTTTTGTTCAATAATAAAAACTTCCACCATAACATCGAACATTGAAATCAAACTTTATCATTAACATAGTTAGAAGAAGTAAACATTACTTCAAATAAACAAAAATCCAGGAAAAATAATAAAAAACTATTAACTTTATTTTAAAAAGAAATATCACAAATCAGAACTGTTGCAGTAACAACCGGAACCCCTTTTACAGAGAAATTTTAAAATCAAACTTTGTCTTTGACAACAAAACAAAGAACTAAAAATAGGAAGAAAAAATTTAAAAATCATTCATAACAATTTTTTAAAAACCAAGTATTACAAAGCAGAACTAAAATATGGAAATAAAATTATAAAAACCCGATTAAACAAATTATTTGAGACTGTCACTTTATGTTGACCGCGAATGACTGGTCTTTGAAAATGTTCAGTTGTACTTCAGCCGGTAAAATTGTACACTTAACAGCTGATTCGGGGTTACAATAAACATAGAACAGAGCTTCTTTTAAATGTCGTCTTCTGTCTGCAGAGTCAAATAATTTACCAAGTGTACGATATCATATTAGGTCGTTTATAGCTCTTAATTGCGATTTTCGGGACAAATCAATAAGATTTAAAAGATTAAATCATTTAAAAAAATTGAATAAGGCTAAATAAAAATAATGCATGCATAAAAAAAAATACTAGTTTCTTCGAGCATTAAGTGCATATTTGGACTTTAAAGCTTGGTAATAATCCGATATGATATGGAAGCTCTCGAAAGGCCTAGACGTCATATAAAGATATTACATTAATGGGCCCTGGACCACACAGCTAAACATTACCTTAAGGGGCCCTGGACCTTGAATCCCGGGAACTTTTCTCTGAAGAAATTTGAGGCATCCGGCAACAAAAAGTTCCTGCGTAAACCAACAGTCGCGTCGTAGAACTCAATTAAGAATGAATAAATTAAGTAAGTTGCCAATGCATGATTTGTTAACTAAATTTATCTTACATTTTTTGAACAAGCGTTTTTTATTCGTAAGATTACATCTACCATCAAAAACGCAGAAATTTTAGACTTAAATTATTTAATCTTACTGTGACCATTTTTTGGATCAATTGCTACATTTCTCAAACTCAAAAGGTCAGAAAGATTGATATCTTTGCGTGGATTTTGATCCCCTCCCCCCCCCCCCCTTACAAATCAAGCTATATGACTAGTTCAACTAATAAAATTCTGGACATCCCCCCCTCTCCCAATAATTTTAGAGATGATATAACGATGTGAGTCTGGTTTCCCTGATGTTCTCTAATCTTGTCTTGAATCCACTTCTCCAGGTTCAGATACTCACGTCTGTATTGAGATTAATAATAATCAGTATGTTACAGATTTGAATTGGCGGATTAAGTCGATTCAAATCGCAGATTTTTCCACAAGTTTATCCATAAAAATGGTAGATTTTTCACATCATTTGTAAACTTTTACCCCAAAATTGGTCGATTTATCCACTAAATTTGATCATTTTTACCCCCAAGTTGGCTTGATATCTCAGACCCAAGTCTAGACTGAAATTTTATAGTTTTAAAGCAACATTCCCCTCCCCCCTCCCAAAAAAAAATGGTAGATTTATCCACTAAATTTGAAAAAAAATTAAAAAGGAAGGGGGGGGGGGAAAGAGGGTAGGAATAGATTAATCAAATACCTTGAAGAAAGAATCGCAAGATCAATAACAAACTGGAAAGGTTGAGCATTCAGCATCAGATTCAAAGCTTTCAAGTCCTAAAATATATAAATATTCAGTGAACAATAAAGGCAAACTTTAACATTATACAGTTTTGAATTCTTTAAAGTTTTTTTTTAATTTGTTCTAAAAACTATCCGAGATGATTAACACCACAATATGCATGAGGTACGGTGGTAGGCTAGGGCGGCCCTGTAAAAATTGTTCAGAGGTGCACTTTTTCTTTTGAATAGATTATATATATATATGTAAATGAAAAATAAAAGGGGGTATAGGCTGAAAGCAAACATGCAAAATAATTTGATATTTGATTGTGTCCAACCATGACCTGCAGAAGTTGTAAGTTGACGATTCTACAAGGATTTCAAGACATGTCATTGAAGTGGAAGAAAATCACTTTTCTTCAAAAACATCACTTCAAAATGTTTATAGATTTCTTAAGTTGTTTAAACCATTAAGCATAGTATAAATCAAATAGAAAGTGAAAAACTAAAAAAAATGTTTTAATATTTGTCAGCGAGTTTTTTAACAAGGTTAGTGTATAGTAAAAAACCAGATTATTTTTCGACTAAACTTACATGAAAATAAAAATAGTTTTCAGCAATTTTTAAAACAAATTTAAATATTAAGTCTTATAAAGTAGTATCTGGGGTTTCCAAATTGATATTAAACAACATTCCAAGTCAAAAATTATGCATTTTATGAACATTTTAAAAGAACAAGTTCAAAATGTCCAAACACGTCATTAAATTATAAGAGAGTTACAATTTTCAAAAAACTCAAAAAACGGAGTTTTTTTAACTGTTCATTAATCGCCAATTTTTGAAGGTATTTCAAAAAGTAATGACATTTTAGAATAAGTATAAAATATAGAACATGAAAATAAATTTTTTTTTTTGTTCAGTTTTCAGGGTATGTTAGTGACCTGCAAGTGCGCATCAATAAAATCGATGATTTTGGGGCTAAAACTGCTTATAAAACTATGATTTTTCAAAATATTCAGTATAAGTTGGTTTTATCTTTTAGACCATTATCTGGGATTTCCAAAATGATATAAAACATTATTCTCAGTCAAAAACTTTGGATTTTATAAAAGTTTTAAGAAATATAATCAATAAAGTTCAAAAATGGCCAAAAAATCACGTTTTTTCCGACGGCACCGGAAAAAATGGTCAAAAATAAAAAATATTTTGGATTTTTCTTAGTTTCATATATATCTATTCAGAAGAAAAAGTGCACCTCTGAACATTTTTTACAGGGCCGCCCTATGGTAGGCGATTGTATCAATATAATGAGGATGACTTTTTTATTTAAGATTTGATAATTTACAAGCTTTTTTCGAACTACAAGTTTTTACGTAATAAAATAGAAGCTTTTATAATCGACAGCTTCTCTTTGTTTCCATACTTATGTGTATCATGCTGTTTAAAGGCTTGACATAAATCAAAATTGAAATAGAAAGTCATCTTCATTGTATTGATATAATCGCCTACCACCGTAGTGAAATAATATTAATACCTGAGCAATGTCTAGGATCCGACCCAGGCGGGATTGTTCACTCTCCCCCTCTACTCCGGACTAAGGAAACATTTTACCATCTCGAAACAATTTTTTTCCAAGAGTTAAAATATTAATAACAAAATGTTTAACCTAAGCGCAAAGTGAGATCGAAAATAATGAATATGGAAAAATTGTTGAGCTGGGCGCTACTAGGAACTACTAAATACATCAGAGAAGTAAATTCAAGGGTGACTGTTTTATTTACTAATTTATACCCAGTTTAACTAATTACCACTCTTCAATAAATCCAACCTTTGAAAAATTATCTAATTCATCCTTAATCTAATTTCACCAAGCTTGGTTTTGTTTCCAAATATGTCAAACTAATTCCCAATAATTCTTTTAAATTTCTGAATTCGCCTGACAAAACGAGTTTACATAGAGGGAACGGAAAACATTTTTATCCAACTTCGACAAGATAAAATTTTTATCAAGTTAAGGGATTTCATCCGAACCGAAAATACTGCAGTGTCATGAGTGTTTTTAAAATAGGTCTTATTTGCAGGTTATGGGATTAACTGAGGCCACATTTTCTACATCTTCAGCTAGGCTTAAGTAGCTTTTTGAGAAATTTAGAAGAGTGATTCCGGTTTTAAGTTGGAAAACTTGTGTTTCTAAACAAATTTAATTTACAGCTTAAACATTGTGGTCGGTAATATGTCACGCGTGGATTTTAGAATCCTAAAATCCTTCTTGTCAAATTAAATATACACAGAAGAGAAGATTTAAAATTCTTAGAACTTGACACAATCTGGCAAAATCTGGTGTTTTAACAATTCCGCCTTCTCAATCAAAGTAATGGGGATTAGTGGCTTCTTACAAATGTTGGAGTATCTAAAATTTTGATTTTCGTCAAAACTCTATTTAGATGTATAAATATCTTAGTAAGTAATTTAAGCATCAAAAGGTGGGGGGGGGGGGGGGAAAACCCCCAATAGGACCACTAAGAATGTTGTTACTTTACCACCCAAAAAATCATTAATTCGACGATTTAAAAAAAATTTGAGAAAACCACATTTTTAAGAAGGGGCTGGGGCCAATTTTTCAATTAAAAATATCACGAAAAGTTTATTTTATCCTTACTCAAACATAAGACATCAGGAAAATTTCCATTGTAAAGAGTTTGTTTTTAATCTTTGTGACAGAAACAATCTCAAGAACTGACGAGGGTCAACCCAGACCGAAATATATTTTCAATAAATGTGGAACTAACATATACTTTTTTTTACTCTACAGAGGTTTGGTACATCACCATCACCGAATTTTAAATAATTGTAAATATAGTTGGAGAAGGGAACAACGGTTAGGGTCGTTAATCGTTTTTAAAAAGATTTTATTTTTTTCTTATAACTATCGTTTTTGAAGACGAACCACTCGTTATAAGCATTCAAAAAATAGTTTTTGAAGACAATCGTTTTTTAAAAACGATCGTTCTTAACAAAAATTTTTGATAATGAATTAAGACAAAGACAATTAATTTCAATTTTAAAGAAATGAAAAACGCTTCGTCGTTTTCAAAACGGATCGATCGTTTTTCAAAATAGTGTAAACGATCCATCCCTAGCTACGATTGGGATGATTTTAAAATAAAAATAGTTTTTCTAGTAAATTTGAATAAAATACGATGAGAAGTTAATGTTCCTTGAGGTACCAGTCTGCCATACTCAGGATTAAAATAGGTTTGATCTGGATGCTCTGACTGTGCCAGGCATGGGTCAGGATCACCTACAAAAAAAATTACAAACTAACGAAATTATTCCCCCCCCCCCATTAAAACCTTCCTGGGGGAAGAAATGATTTGGAAAGACTTCGGGATTGTAAAATGGAAATTTGACTTATTTAAGATAGAGAAGGGTTTCTAGAGTCTAGTTACCTGGGGCTGGTGTCCTGTATCTGCTAGATAGAGAAGGGTTTCTATAAGATCCAAACTTCTCCAGGTTACAATCTCTTTGTTCTGGTAGTCAGGGTTGGTCTGGACGATTCAATCAGTCAGATATTTCACTTTCAGTTGAATTAAAACTTAAAAGGGAACAATTTTTTCCCACGTCTTCTTCCTTGGATTAAAATATAACAGGGATGTATATTTATAAATTACAATGATTTTTAGAACTGATTTTGGATGAATCGGGGGGAAAAGGGCAAGTAGTTTTCTCCAACCTTTTAGATATTTTCCCCCCAAATGTATTTTATTTTTTCCCCCTAAAAATCATTTATTTTAAAATGATTTTTCAAGAAAACATCACAAAAACAAAAATCAGATATTCTATAAACTTAACCAGGGGAGCTGAAAACAATCCAAACACCCTTTTAACATCTATCTGAATATTAAAGGAGAAGAAATTGTGGTTTTTCAGTCTCAAAACGTTTTTAATTCTGAAAATTTTCTTTTCTTGTCAGCAAAAATCCGCCTGTGGATTGTTGACGTCACTTAAATTTTAAAATAAGAAAATTTATTTCATCCTTGTTTAAATAACGGTTTAAAAGATACCGTTGTGAATCTGACATACCCTTTCTTAATGAATGTTCACATGAAATTACGTGGGCAGTCACTTTAAATGATTGTGTCATGAACATCTGACTGATTTTTCCTTGAGAATCTCCGTGGCTGAAGTATGATATTGCTGTTCAGCAAAACAGAAAACATCAGGATTCCTGGAAATATTAACAGTGTTAAAAATTATCAATTAACATCCGGGGCCTATTTAAACCGATATAGGAAGCAAGTTGACAAAATTGAACCACTTAGAAGCGGTGCACAAGAAGAGTGGTTCATATCAAATAGATTATCAAGTACAATAGGTGACAACAGAGAAATGAGCCAATTATACATGACGTCACAAGTGTCAAATATAACAAGTAAGACAACATTTTCTCCCATTAGTGGACTTGTTTTCCAAGATTAAATAAAAAGGTGTAAAAACAGAAAAGAAAGAACACACAATTGCACTTATTTCACTGTCAGAGAAGCACTTAATTATCATAATTTTGTCGGACACATAAAACTGTTGCCATCTATTGTACTTAATCTATTTCGTTTATATAAGTCTACGTAGTTCAACTGCCTGCTAGTCCCAGGATCTGCAACATGCTGGAGCCCTGGATCCGGATCCAAGTGGTAAAATATCAATAATTGACCAAGGCGAGAGAACAAATTAACCTCACAATCTCTTAATATTCAAGTTTTACAGCATATAAAGATTTTAAAAAAGAATGTTTAAGGTTCCTATAAAAGCTTCAGAAGTTTTTTTAAAAAATTATTTCGCTTGATTCGGGATCCGGATCCACATTCATATGTAATTAATCCTATGCATGAGAACTTTGTTCAGTCAAAAAAAAAATGTGTCGGCAGGTAATTATTAAATTAAACAATCTTATCACAAATTTAAAAATAGAATCGGAATATTTTTCTTACAATTCAAAAACTTAACTTACCTAAGAATTTGCTGGTAAAGGGATAGTTGACCTTCGGTGTTCTTCCAGTGCCTGTAGAAAAGATCCATCGGGAACGGTCCCTTCAAAAAACAAAATTAGAACAGTTCTAGAAGGATTTTTTTAAGGAAAAGTATTATCCTCAGATAAAATGAAGAAAAAAATAATTAAAACATTCAATTCCTAAGCTTTTTGTCTAACAAGGAAAACATAGGTTCCAAATATTTGAAATAATTCTGACTTAAAACAAAATTTAGATCTAAAAAGCTTATATTTAAATAAAAAGTAGTTTGTCTAGATAAATACAATAACTAAATATCTTGCTTACTAAAAGCGGTAAAAATAGCGCTTAAGACACAATATTTGAAAGAAATAAAAACGAACAAAGCCCCTCATATTTATTTTTCATTTATATTTCTTTTTTAATATGAAAAATGGTGGAGGAAAGGGGGGGAGGGGCAACCGGACAGTCGCCCATACCCGTGATCATGCACTTGGTGTGCCCCTCAAAAAAAATTGCACCCAGTGGTTACTTCACTTGGGTGGAACGGAGATATTATATCCTTTCGACTGAGTCAATTACCTGAAATCCTTGAGTTTTAAGACCAAGTTTTAAAGCCTTCAGAAGTAGGATCAATCCCGCTCGATCTTTTACCTAAAATAATCGATTTATAAAAAATCTAATTCTGCTTGATAAACTAGGAATTGATTTATCTTCACATTCCTACAGTTTATGAGTACCTGGACTAAACAGTGAGAGTAGTTTTATTAACAAATATTCAGAGTTTCGTGAATATTAAACAATTTTATATTAAAAAATATTTATGATATATTTACCACAAGTTCTAACATAGATTGACCACAAAGTTCTGATATATATTTACCACAAAGCTCTAACCTATTTACCAAAAAGTTCTAATATATCAACCACAAAGTTCTGATATTTTCACCACAAAGTTCTGATATATTTACCACGAAATTATAATATCGTTACTACGAAATTCTATTATATTTACCTCAGAGTTCTTATACATCAACCAAAAAGTTCTGATATATTTACCACAAAGTTTTGATATATCTACCACAAAGTTTTTATATATCAACCACAAAGTTCTTATATATCAACCACAAAGTTCTGATATATTTACCACAAAATTCTAACATATTAACAAAGTTCTGACATATTTACCACAAAGTTCTGATATATTTCAAATCAAATCAAATCACAAAGGGCGGGGATGACAATGGACTCCAGTAGTGGATTGGAGGTTCAAGTCCTTTCCGTGTCCTGGTTTTTCAGTCTGGACTTCTTTCTATATTTAAGAATAAGTTTCACCAACAGTTTACTGTAAGGCGCAAAGTTCCTTGCCACATGACCAAATTTGAGCCATGCCTCACTTTTGGACCTCCTCCATGCGAAATTTACCCCTTAATTGGGCAAAAATTGCATGGCTGAGGTCTCCCCAGCGAGTGTTTAGATCCAAATGTAAATTTGGAATAGCTAGAATTAAGCAGCGTAATATTTAAACTTGTTTAAGTTATGATATATTTACCACAAAGTTCTGATATATTAACCACAAAACTCAAATATATTTACCACAAAGTTTTGATATATTAAATTAACCACAAAATTCAAATATATTTACCAAAAAGTTCTAATATATTTACCACAAAGTTCTGATGATCTAGCTCGAAGATGATTTCCTTCCAGTTAATTGTATTGTGGAGTTCATGAATACTCTGCACAAACACTTCAACGTTCCAAGTCTTCTCAGTCTTTTCATTCTATACAAATATACAAATATACAAATATACAAATATACAAATATACAAATATACAAATATACAAATATACAAATATACAAATATACAAATATACAAATTTACAAATTTACAAATTTACAAATTTACAAATTTACAAATTCTTATCAAAACTCCGGGTTTTCAGCCTGATCTTTAACACACATTTATTTTTGGTTTTACTTTTCCCGTTAGTCCTCTGACAAAACGCGAAATTTAGTGGTTCTTTTTTAATATGGTTCCTCAGTTTTTGAAGACGACCAAATTGGAGCCTTGTCACCACTTTGACGTAGCACAATCAAAGAAGTAGTTTAACTCCGTAGACATAGTTCAACCACTTCTCTTGTGCGCCGGTTAAAGATGAAGTTTAACTGATCTACGTGGTTCAACGATTCAACGAAGTCTCGCTATTCATTTCATCTGGTCCCCCTCAAACCTACATTTTCTTCTTGTTTGAGGACATTTAATGTTCTTTTTAAATTACTGTCTTTGAGTATTAGAAAAATATTGGATGTTCCTTCAAGGCTACGAAATTCAACCATCCCATCCCCTAAAGTACTGATCCCTCAATTGTCTCTAAACACAAATATATGAAGCAACATTTTATTCTAGTACAATCCTAGCTTTTTGCTTCAGATCTAAATCCAGACATTTTTTGCACATTCAAAATAATAATAACAATTAAAAAATCCGCGAGTTTGTTCATTTTTGAAATCAGAATTGTTTTCACTTCTTCTGGGATGTTTCGGCGCGTACTGGATACAAGGAAACCAAATATAAATATTAGGATTAAATTAAGAACTGGTTTACCTTATCCCAGCTTGATCCTGAGTCAGGCCCAGAAAGTGGGATACTATTAGATTCATCTAGTCCGGTGTGGGTTCTAACCATCACTCCAATCACCTGACAAACAAACTCCTGTTATCCATTTTATTTGACAAAATATTTCTTCTTTGGTAGACACTGTTTCTCTCGCTCAAAACTAATCATAAGTTCGCCACCTTGTACGTTCCGTTCATGTTATGAAAAATATATTAATTACCAATGGATTATTTTCTTGTTAATGTATAATTTGTTTTAAAGACTGTATTATGAGATCTACGTTGTAAACCGCAATCCTGCGAATTGTATATCTCCTGCCACTTTAATATGACATGTTATTGTGCAATAAATATTACTTACTTACTTAGTTACTTAAAAAACATCGTAAACAAATTACGATGCTATGCGAAAGAAATTAAAGTTTGTTTTTTTTAGGGGGGGAGTAAATTTTTTAATTTTTTCGATTCTTTTTTTTTCGTTTCCAGCTAAAAATAATTGGTTTTCCATAATTCAGCAACAAAAAAACTGCTATACGCTTAAACAATTCTAATAACTGCTAGTAGCGAGTTACCACCGAAGAATGAGACTGTACACACTTTAAGCAGTATTTTTTTCAAATCCCTTTTACCCTGTAGCTGCTGAGCGCGTTCTTTTTTCCATTGACCATTGATAATTTCAGTTCTTACGTCGTTAAATAAAATCAGACTTTAATGGATGCCATACTCTCTGCACCCGGGACTCTTTAAGTGAATTTACTAAATCAAGAATGAAATGAGGAGTTGTAGCTAGCAAAGATCAATTTTACTTTTTCATATTTAAGGAAGTGACAGCGTATATATGATAGTTGAGCTGAGTGCTGTATTGAACGACTTCCGCGCCACCACCTGTAGGGCAGACGTGCCGTGGAACCACCTGTAGGGCAGACGTGACGTGGAACCACCTGCAGGGCAAACGTGCCGTGCAACCACCTGTAGGGCAAACGTGCCGTGCAACCACCTGCAGGGCAGACGTGCCGTGCAACCACCTGTAGGGCAGACGTTCCGTGGAACCACCTGCGAGGCAAACATGGCCGTGCAACCACCTGTAGGGCAAACTTGCAATGCAACCACCTGAAGGGCAGACGTGCCAACATGTTATTGTGCAATAAATATTACTTACTTACTTAGTTACTTAAAAAACATCGTAAACAAATTACGATGCTATGCGAAAGAAATTAAAGTTTGTTTTTTTTAGGGGGGGAGTAAATTTTTTAATTTTTTCGATTCTTTTTTTTTCGTTTCCAGCTAAAAATAATTGGTTTTCCATAATTCAGCAACAAAAAAACTGCTATACGCTTAAACAATTCTAATAACTGCTAGTAGCGAGTTACCACCGAAGAATGAGACTGTACACACTTTAAGCAGTATTTTTTTCAAATCCCTTTTACCCTGTAGCTGCTGAGCGCGTTCTTTTTTCCATTGACCATTGATAATTTCAGTTCTTACGTCGTTAAATAAAATCAGACTTTAATGGATGCCATACTCTCTGCACCCGGGACTCTTTAAGTGAATTTACTAAATCAAGAATGAAATGAGGAGTTGTAGCTAGCAAAGATCAATTTTACTTTTTCATATTTAAGGAAGTGACAGCGTATATATGATAGTTGAGCTGAGTGCTGTATTGAACGACTTCCGCGCCACCACCTGTAGGGCAGACGTGCCGTGGAACCACCTGTAGGGCAGACGTGACGTGGAACCACCTGCAGGGCAAACGTGCCGTGCAACCACCTGTAGGGCAAACGTGCCGTGCAACCACCTGCAGGGCAGACGTGCCGTGCAACCACCTGTAGGGCAACCGTGCCGTGCAACCACCTGCGGGCAAACGTGTCGTGCCACCACCTGCAGGGCAGGAGGGTGCTGAGGAGGATTTTAAAGATCGAATTTTTGCTCTTGCTTAACAACTTTAAACCGTAAAAACGAGTTATAGGTCTCAATTGAATCCGGAAAAAGTGCGCAACCATACTGCACCCTCAGGTCAGCTAACCTGTCTCATAGTTTGTGGGTAACCCTTTAGTGAGTACATGATAAACAATGATCATTACCTTGGCTATGGTAGCGGCTCCACACAGATCTCGTCCTTGGAACTTATGGAGGCTTGCTCGACATTCTTGCACACTAAATAATTTATCTTTAAAAAATAGTAAGTAACCTTAAAGAAGTACAAAACTCTATATTATTAGAAGAACGACCATATTATAATAATAATAATAATAATAGTCACTGTCAATCTATTATACATACTATTATACATTTTCATAGTTCTTTTTTTAACTAAAGATTCAAGCAAAAAATCTCCCAAAAAACCTTAACTGAACTTCGTTTTTTTTCTTCAAAATACCTAAAATGAACTAATCCGCTTTTTTTTTCAAAATACCAAAAATGAACTAATCAGCTTTTTTAAGTGACCCTCCTTTCAATAAGTGACGTGCTCGGCTAACAAAGGTAACAGCTTTGACTAGAGAAAAATTATGAAAACATTATTTTTTTATCAAAAAAAAAAGAAAGAATATTTACAGGAAACTAAAAATTTATCTCTATTCTTCAAGGGAGTAAATATCATTTTAAAAACAGAAAAACCAAAATCTTTGTAATGAATTTAAATATTCTATTTTCACTAAGCAGATACAAATAAAGCGTTTTTGTATACCTTTCAGTTGGAAAAGAAGTATAAAATGTCGTCCTTTTCATGAGATATATTTTAAAATTACATTTTTCAAACTTTATGTGATCATAGCTTAAATTTGAGCTTTTTCTTCGACGATTTAAATAGAAAAAGACGACATTTTAAATATCTTTTTAAATTCTAAATGAGGTCTCACAAACAAAATTTAAATATTACGTGAACAAAAAACTGAAAAACTAAGAAATAATCGTCTAGGTTTTATCTTTACTTAACGTAAGAAATGTCGGCAGGGATTTTGTGATTTGCATTTGTTGCAAAAACCTCAAAAATATTTTGGAAAATTTTTAAAGAAATAATTCAGTTTTAAATTACAGAATTCTCAGCGATAAATTCATAAAAAACAGAAGACAACGAGAATTGCTTTGTCTTCTGGTTTACAATGTAAATAATATATTAAAATTTTCAGCGCAAGGTATACAATATACATTTTTGGAGCTTACGTAGGGTACAAGGTATACAATATACATTATACCTGGAAGTGAAGTGGTAACCCATCTCTAGAACTAGGTCAGGAAGTGCTCCCTCTAGGAGACTGTTTCCTCCTTTCCCCGCCATTAGAACTTCTTCTTTTTTTACTGTTAACCTTTAACCACATTAAAATACATTAAATGACATTAAAATATTAAAAGGGTAAGACCGTAAGAATCAGGAAAGGATCTAAACTCCATCTTGGGAGACGAGAATTAAGAATGTTCTTGCTATGAATACATATATTGGGATTGTACATTGATCTCCCATTTTATACAGAACTACGGATTAATTCATTCGATATCCCGTGATGGTTGTACCCTGCAGGGATTCATATTAGTGTCCACATTGGATTAATCGACTATCGAGATCAAGGGTTTCAGATCAATAATTCGCGGTACGCGACATTTTTGAACTAAAAACTATTTTAAATGGGTTGTTTTGAGATTAAGAACAGAACCTTCAATGATGTTACTTGTCACACTGCTGAAAATGGACCATCAGGTTTCAATTGAAAACACCTAAATTTTTTCTTTGAATTATGTTTATATGCAGGCTACTGAGCTATATTCTCAATTTTCAGAAAATGCCACCTAGGGAATTTTGAGCAAATCAATTTTTAAGAAATTGTAGAAATCGAGTGCATTCACAGGTCTTAAATTAAACAAAAATTTAATTTCAAGACTTTAATCTGCTTCTTCTGGGGTTTTTGACGATATTTTTTTAACAGTATATGACATGGTCTCCAAATTTTATTTTTCTTGTAGCAAAAAATCGAAACCCTAAGTCAACTACCTGACTGTCAAAATGTGGCCCTTAAAAGTTTTTTTTTGATGTAATTTTTACTTATTTTACTTCAAAAAGTCTTTTTCAGGCAGTAATTGGGCAATTATACAATTCACTTAAGGATTTGATTTTTTTTGTTAAACATGTCTTATGATTGCTAAGGAAAATTGACAAAATTTGGGGACCCTGCCATCAACGGTTCTAAAATTATCACAAAAAAAATAATCTTGATTAATCTTTGAACCTACAGTTACGATTGAGTTTAGACCAGGGGTGTATATAATTCCATATTTTTGATTCTTCCCCCCCCCCCTCTAAATTTTATTTGAATTCCTTCCACAAACTCGACAACTCAAAAGACATAGATTAAACTCTTCTTAGATTTATTATAATATCATCTGAAGAAAATTTCTTATTCTTACTTAATTAAACAGTAAAAAAGTCTACAGGGACATGAAACTGATTTTCTTGGTTCTTCCGTAGCTGTCCAAGAGTTGCAGACAGATCTGCAAACTTCAGTTTGGAGTACTGTCTGGAAAGTCTGGCGTTGTCCAACTTTCTTTCAAAGGTCATCTCCTTCATAAACTCATCCCTGATTTCAGGGATGATTTTTTTCTTTAGGATATGAAGAGGAGGAGCATTAAAAGCTATGATAAGCTCTCTTGAGAAAAAAGCTTGATGTTTCTTCCTTTATTAACTAGTATTCATGAGGGATCCAACACTTTCACAATAGGCTTCAGTATATGATTTTATATTAAAGGGAGTGACCGGCTATGTAAGGTAGTTGAACTGAGGACTCAATTTTAAGTTTCTATTATCTCATTATTCTAGTTTCTTGTTATTCACAAAGATGTTCGCAGATTTTCTATAACTATTATTGAAAAGACGACATTTAAAGAATTTGAAGAAATCTGCTAATAAATTCAAAGAAAATTAGAAATTCAATGTAATAATGAAATAATCGATTTTAGCATTGATTTATTGACAAATTTCTTTTGTGAAATATGTTCCTAGCCGGCGCCGTGACAAACTCCTGAAAGACAAACTCCTGAAAGACAAACTCCGGAAAGACAAACTCCTGAAAAGACAAACTCCTGAAAGACAAACTCCTGACGAGACAAACTCCTGACGAGACAAACTCCTGAAAGACAAACTCCTGAAATTATGAAATTTTTCTCTGAATGAAATTTGATAAAATTCATAAACTTTAGAAGAAAAATCCGCAAATATCCTAGAAAAAATTCTCAATCTTTAGTAATTTGAATATGCTTCAAGCAGCAATGTATTACAATATTCAAAATAACCAGCAAATTTATTATCATTTATTTTTTATTATTTAGGGTTAGGTTAGGTAAATATAAATTGTGAAACATTTTTTTAAATTTGATATTATGGAGTTTGTATTTTTGAAGTTTTTATTTTCAGGAGTTTGTCTCGTCAGGAGTTTGTCTCGTCAGGAGTTTGTCTTTCAGGAGTTTGTCTTTTCAGGAGTTTGTCTTTCAGGAGTTTGTCTTTTCAGGAGTTTGTCTTTCCGGAGTTTGTCTTTCAGGAGTTTGTCACGGCGCCTTCCTAGCCATCTATTTAGATTACTGTATAATATTTACTTTATTTTTCGTTGTCGTTATTTAATAATTTAAAAAAAACTAATTCTGAAAGCGTATCCACCCCCAAATCAGGAGTTTTTAACGTCGAATTTGCGCTCAAACTCAGGATTTACAGATCTTTAAAAAGTGAAATATGTCTCAAATGAATCCTACAGAAGTTTTCGACAACACTGCATACTCAGTTCAATTACCTTACATAGTCGGTCACTCCTTTTAACATGTTCGAACAGGTCAAAGAATCTAGACTCTGCTGACAAACTCTGCCTATAATAATTCTTTTGGAACAGTTGATATAACACTTCCAAGGACTGCTGATCAGAATTTTGTAATGTCAGGAATTGACTGTATGTCTGTAGAAGGCTATCCTGAACTTCAAACTTGTCCTGAAGTTTGTCTTCAAACTTCTCCTGAAGTTTGTCTTCTATCAGATTTTCAACCAGCTCCTCTAGATGTACTCTGGCACTTGTTTCTAGCATGTCTTTACTGATGTTTTCAGCCCACTCTGTTCTATGAAAAGCCTCTACAGAAGCCTTTACAAGTGAAGTAGGTTTCCCTTCTCCTTCCCTTCTCCTTCCCTTCTTCTTCCCTTCCCCTTTCCTTCCCCTTCACCTTCCCCTCTTTTGTGACCTTTGATTTCTTTCCCCCCCCCAAGGGGGGGTGGGGAGTAAATGGAATTATATACACCCCTGGTTTAGACTTAAAAATGCACTTGATTTTTACAAATTCTTTAAAATGGATTTAATTAAAATTCCCTAGGTGGGATTTTCTGAAAATTTAGATTATAACTCAGAAGCCTGCATACTAATATATTCCGAAGAAAAATTAGGTAATTTGACTTGAAACCTGATGGTACATTTTCAGCAGTGTGTTGTACTATATTGAATATTTTCAAATAGATCCAAATTTATTTGGATGTTTACAGGGTTTATTTCGCCCAGTTTATAGAAAATTTAACGATTTTTGTTGAGCATAACTCACTTAGAAGGGGAGGGGGGAAGGGAAGGTGCCATTTTTTTTAGAGTTTCAGATATTCCTATTCAAACAAAAAAAATGTTATACAACGCCAATCACACTTTTTTGGAATCACCCTTTAGTTTTTACCCGCGTAACAATTATCCTTTAAATATTCCCTGCTCGTTCTACCTGAGAAGAGGTTTGAGAACAAGAGGAACTGAATCCTTGAAGTGAGACTTGATCAAATCAACCAGCTCAATCAACCAGGATTGTGGAAGATCAAGCTCAGGGAAACTAACAAGAACCTCGTGCAGTAGCTCACTAAAAATAATACAACTAATAATATAATAAAATGAAATAATAACCTAATAATGATAAAAATAATATTGTTTAATTATTTGTGGATTGAAATTTTATTATTTTTTTTTATTTTTGACAGATATTAAAATTGAAAAATGTTATTAAGTTTAAATATAAAGAAGCAAAGATGTTCTCTTCAGGNAATTTGAGGGGTGCAAGTTGAATTTTTCCAACGCAAGGGGGGAGGGGGTAAATAGAAACCATTGATGAAAGCAAAAAAAGAACTTTATTGAGAAATTCTCCTTAATTTGAGAATTGTTTGAGAAAGCAGAATCAAGACAACAGAATTCCAACATTAATACAATCAAAACCCAGAAGTGTATATTTTTTTAATGATTTTTGATGATCTGGGAGAAAAAATGAAAAATTAGAAGAAAAAAGAGCAAACTTTTTTCTGATATCTTATTTCATTCTTTTTATTTCAAAATTTACTTGTTTTCCCCTACAACTCGTTTATTTTCTCAAAATCATTGTATAAAACCCTTTAAAAAATTCAAAAAGGGGGAAAACGATTTTCAAGAAAATATCCACTCCTGGAAAAACAAAAGATGGTTGATTTATTTTGATGTACCCAACCTAATTATTTATTTGATTTTATATACCTGTAATCCTCTAGCTGTGTGTTCTTGATGGATGATATAAGATCAGTTAACTTGTTCTGAAGGAGTTTAGTGCTCTGTAGTTTTAACTCCTGAGATACTAATCTCCGAGATACGCCTAGGCACAGGGCAACCTCCTGCAACAATAACGTCTGATGATTGGCATCAAATTTAATTTTGAGCACAGAAGGCATATGTATAGCTGTGGGCGACGTTCCTAGGGAGCCGATCGTTCTTTCCAAAAAATTAGGAACACACCCAGCTCAAGGCTGGCCATCGTTCCATGGAAATGATGATCAAGGAAATACATACCCTTGAAGAATATTGATTTAACTGAATTTAGATGTAACCTGTATAGGGGTTAGCTTAAGTGCTGTAAGTAGCTGCTGGAAGGAAGGAGGGGAACCAGTTCCAACTGGATTCTCGTAACACCTGAAACAAAACAAAGATTTTTCTAAAAAATTGTGTTATCATTCGGAAACATAACAACATGAATAAACAAGGTGAAAGTATGAAAAAATAAAGAAAAAATAGTGAGAAACACGAATTAAAGATCACATAACCAACAAGTCAAAATAAGAAGACAGGCAATAACAAAAAAAATATTTTATAAATAAAAGAAAAATTTAAGAACAGTCTAACAAAAAAAAAGATAGAAAGAGGAATACCTATGGTTAAAAAAAGGAACGAGTGGAAAGAAGTTCACGAACTAATTCGGTCAATCTTCGCACATAATGCAAGGGGCAATTAAAGTTATCAGTGGTCCTTTATTTTAAGAGCGACATGCCCGATTTACAACGGTGGGTCCTTTAAACCTCTATTTAAGAAACAATGAAGAAAATCTTTGTATATCGTCTAAAATAAACAAATTTCTTGTCCCCGCAGCCTTAAGTCACATTTTAGAATAACCCCATTTGGGAATAAAAGTTAATTTTCATTAATCTCTGAGCAGACAACAGTTAAAATGGTTCTGCTAGAAATGGAGGGTCATCACTTGAAATTGCGTCTACTTTCCCTTTAAGAATAGAAAAATAAGATGGGCCCGTAGCGCCCTGACTAACCAGGCTAGAAGAGAAGGAAGACTGCTGCTCCAGTTTAAACCTTCTATCTGGTCTAGTAGTAGCTGTACATGTACACTCTCTCCGCCTCCTTTCACAGGACTTGATCCAGCTTTCCTCACAGGAACCTTAATATAAATTTAATAAATAGTGAGACGTAGTTGAACTACACAGACCGAATTGAACCACGTCTCTTCAATTTGACCCAGAGAACACTTCTTATCAGCTTGAACTGACGCAGCTAAATCACTTCTTAATATCCATTAAAATTGGTCTTGAGCTGGGAACTCTTGAATTGTGGATTTCGAGATCAATGTTTTATATTGATTTTTTGTTAATCTGCAGATTAATTTTTATTCGTCGTCTAGCATGGTAAATTGGTAATCGTACCCAGTTATGGGTTAAAGCGAGCTTTGATTAGGGGAGGAATAACTAAAATGAAGATATGAAAAGCAAGGTTAATTAAAAGTGTCCGAGGTGGATATAAAGATCAAAAGACCGGGATTATTAGTATCCAACAGAAAATTTCTAAGCTTAGCTGATGAAGGCTCCTCGGAAAATTCATGGTTAAATAGAACACATTAGACTGGTTTTTGAAGAAATGGGGGGGGGGGGGTTCAATAGAACACATTAAACTGGTTTTTGAAGATATGGGGGGGGGGGGGTTAAATTATTCAAATCGAAGCTTTAAGCATAATTATAAATATTAATTACGAATCTACCTTGGGTAAGAGAATACGAACAAGATGTTTTCGTATTTCAGATCCGTAAACAGAAACAAGTTTGTTGGTTTCTTGAAGGCTCTTCTCGTAGTTCTTCTTTGTTAGTGTATGCACCTAAATAATAGTCTTATCAATTTATGTAAATAAATCAGTTAAGGAACATAACAGGCTTTTACGGGAATTTGTCCTGTGGGCTACCTAAAAAAAACCGCGATCCAGGATATAAGCTAGCTTATAATCGAAAAAACCCAGCTTTTAGACACTGAAGTGATAATTTTTAGGGGTGTACATTTACAAACATTACAGGAAAAACTGGAATAAAAATGAAAAAAAAAAATTTAAAAAAAGGTTGCAGAAATTGGGTCCGTCCTAGTATAAGATTTTAGGACCCCCCTTCCCTCCTATCAATTTTGTACACGACCACTTAATTTACACCAAATTGTTACTATTTTATTAATATCTTAGCGTTAGGTTAGATTAAGACAGTTTCTGGGCTAAGCGCTGGGGCTAGGACAGGGGGCCGAGCGCTGCGTCTAGGATAGGCTAGGGGACTAAGCGCCGCGGCTAGGACAGGCTAGGGGGCCGGCCGATGGGGCCACATTATCAGTTATATCCATCTGTTACATAATAGATCCATGTACAAAATAGTAAGAAATCTAAGAAATTATAATGACGGGGCATAGGGTGCAATAATTTATGGCATTTTCTTAGTTTTGGGGTCTGTCCTAGTGAACGATTTTTTCAAAAAGGGGGAAAACNCTTTTTAAAGAAAAAAAAATAATAAATTAACCATTTCATTTTTCAGTTTGCCCCCAGCCTTGTGTTCCTCAACCTAGCTCTCAGTCAACTGAAATTAGGTAAACTCACTAATTCACTTTATGTCAAACTTTGTAATTCAAATGTTAGACGTACATTTTTGTCCACTTTTTTTAGGGGGGGGGGGTCCAAAAATCTTTCTCTAGGAATATACCTAGTTTTGTAGTGCATCTCTTAATAAAGTATAGCAAGTTAATTTTTTTAATTAATAGACAGTAGATGAAATTTACGACAGAAAAAGACAGGAAACGACCTACCAGAATCTATACACATATATCCAGTTTCACTTTTTTTAAAGAAAACTAACTAATAAAAAGAAGAAAAATTAGTAGAAATAGGTATATTCCTAAAGAACAATCCCCCTTATAGGTGAAAGTACCACATCAGGGCGACCGGCAGCGGTTATAATAAGCAGACAGAACTATTCATAAATTTAATCATCTTGTAGGCCGAACCAATTAACTTACCAGATAATTAACTTGAGATAGAGCAAAGGCAGGGGAGTCTAGGTTCATAATTCCATGGAACTAGCGAGGGTCGCTCCAAGCTTGCTTGAAGCGTGTGAAGCCACCGAAGAAAAAAGCGCGTGAGCGCACTCACCCCTGTGCGGTGTGCACCTAATCACTAGATTTTTATGATCACTGTATGCTTTAAAACAAATCTTGTTCTTAGGAAAAGACTGAAAATGGGTTAATTCTTTCATTAACTCACATTTTCGGAACCGCTTCGATTGTTAGTAATTTAAACATGGCGGATTCTGGGTCGCTATTGTTCAACTCATTCACGCAGCAATCAGCTGATTACCCGGCCTTGGCTTTACACGGACTAACGGTTCCTGCCGCGTAGAACATTTAACAAACTTTTAGATTTTAGTTTTCCAGTAAGAGAGAAATTTAGTCTCAGTGACTGAAAATGATCATAATCATATCCTATCGAAATCACTTGTGGTTCAATAAGCGGAAGGGTGGAAATCCCCATGGAAATGGGAGGGTAAGGGGACGGAAAAAGAATACAGGGGCACCTGTGCGAAGGAGGGGGTGCAGAGTCGTCATGAGCCGCAAAAATTATATCCGAGCCTCCAGATTTGCAGAAAAAACCTCCAGGCCCTATGAAACCGTCTCCGTGCCTCTCGTTACGTCTCCGAGCCTCCACCATTCCGTCTCCACGCCCCGAATTTGCTGTCCAATAACCAATATTTGGCTTTTACATCCACCAAAAATCATTTTTTTCAAAAAAATCTCAACATCCCAGGAAACATTTTAACCGACAATAGGTGTCAATGGCAAAGATGTCGGGTAAATAATTCTGGACTTAATCATGTTCGCCATCAGTTTGTTGGAGATAAAATGTTTGCAGGGATTATAAAATAGTTTATAATAAAACATTAACAATAATTGTGCTAAAAAGTCCATTTTAATTGAGATTAAAGGTTTTATTTTTGTTTTTCTAATATTCACAAATTCCTTAAATTGTAATGAACTATTGAAGTTTAGGGATAGACAAATTTTATATTAATATTTCACCAGGGTTTCATGTATGAGCGGCATTTCACAAACCACAGTAGTTTCTGTGAATTATTCTTGAATTTGTACGTACTTTTCAATTGTATGCTTTGAAAACATTGAAGAACAATTTTTTGAATTAACATTTTTTTTGTAAATAATCTAAATATCTATAACATGCTATACTAACAGGACAGGACAGCGTCATGTCCTGTACTTACTTATTTTTTTTTAAATACAGTCGGGGGGGGGTCAATTCTTCTATAGTGTGGGGAATTAGGCTGTATATAGAGAAAGGGATCCATGCAGCCGTATTGAGCAGATCCATCGAGTCATGCTCATTGCTCATGCAGTACGACCCTCAGCTCAGTGGTGCAACTAGTGGGAGGGGGGCGAACCCAATCCCCCCCCTTAACATATTTTGCGTCCCCCTTACTCAACTCTATCATGATCATGATTGTGAAATGTGGACAATCTTTATCAAATTCTGACCATTAAGAAAAAATACCAACAAAGCCAGGAATTGAGTCTTTGCCACAAACTCTGATTTCGAATCTCTATATCTTTGCAACTCAACCTCTGAGACCTTAAATATTTCAAGCTGTTAATTCTGTTGGATCGAATAACCTAAGTTTGAAATATCAACGATTTACACCATCAGGTTGCAAGGATAGAGATTACAAAATTTGAGTTTGTAGTAAAGACTCAATTCCTTTTCAAAGTGCACTCTGTGTATCATTTGACCTATTTTCTTTATTTCAACTTAAAGAAAGTCAGTCTCTCATAATTAATTTATATTCTCCTACAAAAAACAAATCAAAACAATTTTTCAAAATAGAAATGAAATTTTAAAGATATAAAATATGATTTTAACAATTATATATTTGTTAAAAATCATATCAATTATAATTAATAATAAGGTATTAAATAAATCATGATTTTATTTTAATATTTTTGGCAAAGCTCGAAAATAATTATCAAACTTCTGATGCAACCAGTCATTTACCCAGTTATATAATAACCGAACAAATATATATAAATATAGTACAGAAAACGGACCTCACTGAAGATTGGAGCAATTCCATGAAACGCCGCGGCTGAGGATGTAAATCTGTTTTTTAATTAAATAATAAATTGATTATATATATAAATACTGATGATTGCCGTAAGGCATGAAACATGATGTATAGTAAAATCCTGAAATATATTAAAATGTTTTAATTTGAAACTGATCTTTTTAATACGTACATATATTTATATGTATGATGCTGCTGAAGAATGTCCAACATGAAACACAGTGTACAGCAATAAACCTTATTCATAAACAATTAGAAAATGTTCTGAACTTATTTAAGAAGATAAATATATATTTGTTGACGGAAAACAGCAACACGCTAGACAAATCAGGATAATAGGCCAGTTAGGATTCTGGTGGGGGATGTTTATTTTCCCCGGACAATTCTTTCCCGATAGGCCGCACAAAATACACACAACAGAGTAACCCCGTCTCAGAAATTCGATAACAAAATCTTTATTTCCTAAAAAAATAACATAAATTATAGGTCATGGTTACTTGTACAATGTTATAATGAATATTAATAGTAGAAAAATCTTACGAATTATTAAGGTGTGATCGGGGGAGACTTATTGTTGATCAGTATTGAAATACGTTTTTTTAACTTCTGAAAAATTACAGTTGAATATTTAACGAAATTCACTAATGCTTCTTATGAAAATATTTTGCTTAACTTTAATGATTTCACAACAACGAAAATATTTTAAGCTCCGTCGGAGGAGTACAAAGGGAATTGCGGGCTGAAAATTTGGTTTGGCTGTCTCCGAGAGGAGATTCAAGTTGAAGACGACATTTTGCAGAGGTCTTAAAATTAATGGTTAACAATATTATATTATTATATTATATTTGTAATAATATATATATATATATATTTCATGAAAGAAAAGCTTAATCACATTCTATGTATATATGTATATAAATAAATTTAAATATTCCAAAAATTTTGACTACTAAGGATTGTCATGAGATATATAATATATAATATAAAATAAGAGAAGAAAGTTAGTGTAGCTCTATATTGTACAATGTAGCTCTAGTTATAGTATGCTAGTCCCATCCATGCAGACAGTATTCCAAACAGACCAATCCCTAAACAAAATTTGTTAACCTTTTTTATCATTTTATTTTTATTTTTATCCTACACACATTAGCGGGTTTTCATTTTTCTCGCTTTTTTTGTCTCACAGCAATTTAGACAGATGGAAAATTAAGATAAAGTTTAAAGGACATCACTGATGTGGATTTGTGACCTTGTAGCTCCTCTTTGAACACTCTTATCTGCATTTACTTAAGTTTGCCGTACCTCTGTCCATGTGAGCGCATTTTTGACAGAATAATAATTAATAACCTTAGCCTAAATATAAATATATTAACTCACTCAGGCAGGGGCGGATACAGGATTTAAGTGAGGAGGGTGGGGGCAAAAAAATGAAAAATTAGGAAAAAAAAAATCGAAAATTTTTTTTGGCTTAAAAGACTCAAAAAGAGTCAAAATTAATGACTAAAGACTAAAAAACTAGATTTTTAACTTTAAGGAAGTGCCTTAATTTCCAGTTCGGTT